AGGCGGATGTCAGGAGGGAGGCGGAGGTGACAGGACCCGTACACACATGCGCGCGCGCACACACAGACACATACACACACACACATACATGCACGTTGCCTCTGTAGCGGGGAGGGCTCCTCTTCAGCTACGGACATAACCCCATGGAATCTGAGCTGTAAAGCAGGACCCCCTGCTCCCCGCCCATCTATTTTTACATCTAAAAACGAAGTCAAGCCTCAGCTGACATTCAGTCATTCCATGAGGGGAAGGAGGAAGGGGCAGATGGACGCTCTTCCCACCAGAAATTGGCTCTGACAGGCGGGCGTTTCAAGGGGACCTCGCTGGTGTTCTGATCCCAGTCTGTTAATAGTAGGAATTGCTGTAAGTAATGTCGAGAATCATCTGCTTGGGGGACTTTGGGATTTGCAGAGGGGAAAACAGAATTTAATTTTTAAAAAAGAACTATTTAATTTAAAGAACAAATTCTCCCGTGGACTAATTGACTCCCAGCTGGTCCTTTCTGGATCCAGGACTGTACTGTGGGTACCAGCCAAATAATTAGTGTCTTGTAAGAACTGTAAATTATTGTCACTTGAAAAAAAAAATGAGAAATATTCACCTTCCTTCTTTTTATCTCCTCCTCCCCTTTCTGGTATGCAAAGCCAGGTAGGACTTTGGTGACAGGATCTGTATTTTGTCTTGCAGCCTACCTGGAGGAGATCCAGTCGGTCCGTCGCCACACCAACAGCATGCTGGAAGGCCCCAGGAGCCTGCATCCCCCCATCGTGGTCCACTGCAGCGCTGGGGTGGGGCGGACCGGCGTGGTCATTCTTTCTGAGCTGATGATCTACTGCCTGGAGCATAACGAAGTGAGTCATTGGAGGCTTTCCTGAGTACTCCACCTTGGGGACAAATGTACTCTGCCCCCAGACCTTCCTCGGGGGCCCTTTGGTTTCCAGGGCTTCATTTCCCATCTTGTGACAAGACTTTTCCAGATCCACAATTCCTAGTTGGCCCCTGACATTTACAGCCTTTCTTATCTTCCGCCTTTCCCTTGCTCAGTGTAGACTCGAAGATAACAGAAGAAAGAGATTAAAGTGTGAGATAGGAAACATTGAGAAAGCCTGATGTGCTTGATGTCGGCTTCCAGAAGGCTGTGTGGTGTTTTGCAGCCCATCTGGTTCTATCGTGGGTCACCTTCCACAGTGGGTTATCTGGTCACAGGTCATCTAGCTACGACTTGCACTTCCGGAGTATGTTTCAGCCAAAATCCTCTGCGAAAAAATGTGTTTACTGGATGACGGGGAGGTTGTGGGCCCTCCAGACAGGCCCTGGGGTAGCACACGGACATGGTCTGCCCCCACAACGGTGCATGCCTAGCTCTTCTCCCCACAGAGGTGGGCTGTGCTGAGCTGGTGCCCACGCGGTGTGTGGCTTCTCCTGCAGCTCCAGGCCAGGGAGTGGTATGGAGGGACTTCTGATTTCACGGAGGTGAGATCAGATCAAATCCAAGGCTTAAGAACCATTCTTCTGCTTTCTGTTCACATGGGTCTTTGGGAGTTTTGAATGGCTTTCACTTTTTTGTTAATGCTCTTAGTTGGGGTCTTCAGAGCAGCTGTGTAGAGGAGCTGGGCACCTGTCCTGTTTTACAGACGAGGAAACTCAGGTCCAGAAACAATTTAGGGACTTGTCCAGTGCTAAGGTGAGAATGGGGTCTTCTAGTTCCTGGTCCCCAGTTCTTTCCTGTCTTCACTCTGCCGGCAGATGCCAAGTGCCAGTGGTTCTTGTTCCATTCCCAATTCCCACATGAGAGCATTGTGGGGCAGAAGGAGAGAGAGAGAGAAGCACATGAGTGGGGAGAAGAGGAAGAAGCAGGCTCCCCGCTGAGCAAGGAGCCCGACATGGGGCTCGATCCCAGGGTCCTGGAACCATGCATGTTCTGTGAAAGAACTGATATAATATATGGATTTACTCAGTAGTATGTCGTTTGAAAATCAGATTAAATATTGCCCCACGAAATTTGTTATACTGAAACTTCCAGAAAAACGATAAATACACAGGTTCAAACATGTTCAAAGGATTTTTAAACTCTTCCTATATAAAGTTCATTTTGGAAATTTTGAATCCATATGTATGAATGTGCTGCTGAAAAGTAGAATCCGTGGAGCGTGTGGGTGGCTCAGTCAGTTGGGTGTCCCAACTCTTGGTTTTGGCTCAGGTCATGATCTCTGCATCATAGAATCAAGCTCCACACTCAGCGGGGAGTCTGCTTCTCTCTCTCTCTCCTTCTGCCCCACAATGCTCTCATGTGCTCTCTAAAATAAGTAAATCTAAAAAAAAAAAAGTAAACTTGGGCTTATACCAAAAGTGGACTACTTTTAAAAACAGACAAGTGCCTTCTTAGCGCAGTAGGCAGCGCTTCAGTCTCATAAAAACAGACAGACATTCTGTTGATGAGCAAAATGCCCATCGCAGAATCAGCAGAGACTACCTAACAGGAATTTTGTCATCTTCCATGAGTTTTTATCCTTTTGTCTCACATCATGAGATTTCTTGATTACTTGCTCCTCTGTCTCTAGAAGGGTCTAGTAAACTGAATAACTTGCCATTGAGTCCCAAAGCGAATCGGTGCTAAGGAGATGGAAAAAGATGAAGTAGAAGTGTAGTATATATGGCGTGAGTATATCCAAGCTCCACTGGAGACACAGTGGGCTCCAGAGGAGGAGGAAAGCCTCATCATCAACCCCTCCCCTAGCTATCTTACCACTCCCTTGTGTCACTGTCTTCCCCACAGTGTCCCTCTGTCTACTATTCCCTGTGAACTCTTCCTCTGCTCCCCACTGCTCCTTTTGTCCATCTTGTCTGACATGGAAGGTGGTTCTGTTCTGAGCTCTTTGGAGACCCACCAAAAGCTAAGCCTTAGTAATGTGATGACACGAAGGCTCATTGGCCCCCAGATGTTACTGACCCAATAGAACACACGGCACATGTCCAAGCCAGTGTGGTGCTGAGTGAGGATTCAGCCATTAGGGCCTCGCACAGACTTGGTGAGGGCTCAGGGTGATTAAATTTTCTACAGTGTGTCCAAACATAGTGGATTTCCTCAATGCCCAGTTGCACGCCAGAACATTCTTTGCTGGAACATGGTCAGTCCAAAAAGAACTTCTGTTCCCATTGATATTCAAAGATAGCAAGATGACTCATATTGTTCCCTTCCCTTCCCCTAGCACAAATATAGCCAGCTTATCTGTCCCATTTCCCATCACTGCTATTGGTAGATGGTTAGGGAGAGACAAGTTCTCTACTTTGTTCTGCTTCAGGCCTGGCTAGTAAGAGTCAAACCCTCGTTTCAAAAGAAGACTGGAGCATATTTAGCTCTTTTATTTGTTTTTTAAGCAAAGATTTTGACAAATAAATACAAAATTGCGCATCCTGTTTTTCTCCTCTCTAAACTTCCCTGCCTCCCATCCATTGCTTCTGGATTTAGTGTACTTTATATTTTAGTCTGTAATCCATACAGTGTTAGTTTTGTCAGCGAAATGCCTTTTCTTTTTCCTGGAATAAAGATGCTTTTTACAGTCAGGTCAGGGAGCTGTGACGTGGGGAGGGGAGGGAACGCTCCTAGGCTGCTCTGACAAGTGTCTTCGTGGCCCACCGCTTTGGGTCACTGAATGTTAGCTTGATATTTTAATGCCTATACTTTTTTTTTTTTTTTCCCTAAAAAGCACTAGTTTTATGGTTTGCAGTCCTCTACCTTGTCCCCCCGGGATTTAGCGCTCTGTCCTAGATCAGCTCATAATAAAAGGTTAGGTTTTCAGTACCCAAATAATGAGATGTCTTCTCTGGCTGCTTTTCTGAATAAGTTCTCCCTTCCTCATGGAGTAGAGAGGAGAAACTGCCTTCTGAGCGCACAGCCACTGCAGCATGATTCCTTGGGAGTTAGGGGCAGTGGACAGCAGAGACTCTGGGAGTGAATCTTCAGGGCAACTAGGACTCTTGTTGATTATGGGGAACTTTCTTTGTCTTGTCTGGCAGCTGTCCCTTATCAACATGCTGTCTTTAGAGCTGAGTCTTACAGGCATTGAGATGGTAATGACCATGATGGTGGATGGAGCTCGAGAAGGTGGAGGTGGCCGAGGTAGGGGACGAAGGCGCGACGGCGGTGGTGCAGGAGTGACAGTGATGGAGGTGGAAGGGGTGATAACAGCCGTGACAGTATCAGAGTAACAACCACCAACCTCCATTGAACGTGCTCCCGCCATTCTGCGAGCCTCACAACTCAAGTAGCCTTTACAGTAACCCTGCAAGAGAGGTCCTGGTAATGCCCTGTGTGACAGAGATTCCGAGGCACAAGTAGATGAGGGGATGTGTCCCTGTCCCACAGCCAGGAAGTGTGAAGGCTGGGGTTTGGCAGATGAAGCCTGACCCGATCCTGTGCTCTTAACTGGTGTGTGACCCTGCCTCCCCGTCAAAACCTTGATGGGAATGGGGGAGCGGCAGCTTTGATCTCTCCTTACGTCTTCAACGCCCAGCTCAGTAACGCTCACCAAGCAGTGTGTGCTGGTGTAAGTTCATCGTTGGGCGCCCGTGGGTTGTACATCGCGCTGTCGGTTACTTTGGAGTATCGCGTGGGCAAAGACCCACTAGTTCAAAGCTTACGGTGTAGGCTGTAGGGTTTGACTAACAGTTTGAGGATTCACATGCCTTTTTCTCTTTCCTTCTTACTGAGGACTTGCCTCTATCCCTTTTAAAATCTGTGGTGCGCATTACGTGTTTCTGGAGAAGAGAGACCAAGAAGGCTGGCATGTGCTGTATCTTAGCTAAATGAAGTTCGGAAGAGGCTGGAGTGGCTTGTAAAAGTCAAGTAAGAAAAGACCTACAGCTGGGGGTGCGTTGCCTTGCCTCCTGCGGTTGCTCTGCGCTTGCAGACCTCATGGGGCTGGTGTTGCCCCGGGGAGGAGCTCCCAGAGCAGGGGCCGTGTGCTGCGGCCACGCTGGCTTTGCGGACTCCGTGAGACTTCTGTCCTGGCTGGTCCAGGAGGATGGAAAGGACTCGACTGAGCCTCTGGTCTGTGTTAATTCCCTTCTGTTGAAGCTGGTTCTGTATTCCCAAAGAATTGACACACGGGCAATCTCAATATTTTTAGTGAAAGGTTTTCACTCTAATTATGGCTATTGTGATGAGCACCGGGTGTTGGATGGGAAGTGTTGAATTTCTGTATTGTACACCTGAAACTAACATTACACTATATGTTGACTAACTGGAATTTAAATAAAAACTTAAAAAAAAAAAAACAAAAGGCAAAAGCTGAGAAGCAGCCTAGTTATTCTGGAGAAGACCCCAAACACGGAACTGATAGAATTTCTGAAAATGGGTGTGAGGCGTAGAGACAAAAAGAGAAGGACCAACTGAAAAAAAAAAAAAAATCAACCAACCAACCAATCAACATGACTGTGTTCAGAGATTGTAACTTGACGTTTTCAAGGTTTACCCATAAATTATCTCACTTGATAATGACCACGATTCTGTGAGGTGGCAGGATCAGTATGATTTTTCTCAGTTCATTGATATTAATAATAATGGGTAGTCTTTATTAAGAACTCAGTGTGTGCCAGACACTGCGCCAAACGCCGTACGTGCATGTCACTGCTGGATCCCATCAGGCGGGCGCGTCCGGTCACCCACTGTACTGGCTGAGGAAGTGTTGCTAACCTGGGCAAAGCCACGCTGTTGTCAGAGGAAAGCATCGTTTTTTTTCTTGTACAAATAAGAAACTAAGACCCAGAGAGGTCTTGAATCCTGCCACTGAGTCCAGCCGGAGTGGGGAGTACCAGTCGGTATGAGTGACTGCAGCCTCTGGGTTTTCTCGAACCATCTGGTGCATGTTTCACATCTTAAACCAGTGCCAGTGGCATGTGACAACCAGATTCTCCAGTAGAAGGTCTTTGAATGGGCAACCCTAGAGGGGCCAGGCCCTTAGCTTTCTCATGTACCTAGAGATGGGCAGTGAGCCAAAGCTTCCCGGAGGAGGGAATGAGGAGGGACCCAAGGGCGGCTTCTCATCTCAGGATGTGGTGCTTGTTCTCTTTTCTTGCAGAAGGTGGACGTGCCTGTGATGCTGCGGCTGCTCAGGGAGCAGAGGATGTTCATGATCCAGACCATCGCCCAGTACAAGTTTGTCTACCAAGTGCTCGTCCAGTTCCTCCAAAACTCCAGACTCATTTAACCCCCCCGACCCAGCTCTTGCAAGAGGACCCAGCTCCGTCGTGCAGACGGGGAGGCACCCCCAGACAGCATCTCCCCCCGAGGGGCGTGGATGGCCAGAGCAGGCAGGTCATGGGCTCCCTGAGGACAGGAGCCGAGAGCATTCACAAACATCATAGATTATTTTATATGAGATAATTTATTTTTTTCCCCTTTGGGATAACTTTTGTGAATCATTGTAATTCAGTTTTCACAATAATATAGTACCTTTCATTTGAACCATATTTTGACTGATCTGCATTGTAAATATGTCAGTAGGAAGGGCTGTCTGGTAGATCATCTGGCGGACAGAGGCATAAAGGGAAGACATCTCTAGTGAAGTTGTGGCCAGATTAGTAACTGACCCTGAAATTCATCAGCCTCATCGTCACATCCAAATCCAACATGGCAAGAAAATTAATTTGTTCTAAAATTAAAAGATAGGGGCCAAGGCCCTTCCCTGAAGGGAAAAAACAATAACAACAAAGAAAACCCCTCTATTCTCTTATATTTCGGGGCTCATGAGCCTTGATGGCCAGTGGCCTCCCTTCTTCCTTTCTGCCCTCATGCTCAGCAGCTGAAGTTAAAGACAGGATCAGCCCTCGCCCAGGCTGAGCGAGGAGCTCTGCACTGTACCTTTCTCAGCACTCCCTTCTGCTGGAGTCTGGAGCCTGTGTTCCCTGCCAGGGAAGCACCCGTCTCCACTACTGCTCCCTGTTTGCTCGGCGGGCCCCAGTCCGGTGGTCTTTGAGGCTCTGGGCCAGGCCATCTGTGCAGCTAGGCCTCCTGCCTGATTGAGAGAAGATAATGGACCCGAGTGGGAAGAGAAAGGAGACGGGTAGGCTCTTGATATCATTTTTTATTTAAATAGTCTTTGTGTGCTGGACAGAGGCGTGAAGGTCGAGGTGCTGGGTACATTCTGTCTTTCCATCAGTCACCAAGTCATTGGAAATGCTGTAAAGGGAACAGCTGGAAAAGCTGATTGATGGGGGCTCTTTGGCACTCAGGTGGTGGGGCCCCGGCCAAGAAGTGCACTGGGAGGCCCCTCCCAGCTGTGCGGCTCTCGCTGCAGGCTTTGGCCTGCAGGAGCAACGCTAAGCCCACTCGGGACCCTGTCCTCCACCTTTTGGCCATTGGATACAAGATTCGGGGATCTGTCTCACACAAAGCCCTTTACTGCTTCCCTGTTCTCCGTGCATCCCCCTCTCCGGACACTTCACGGCTCGCCTCTGTGTGTCGCCTCCTGAGCCTACGCTGGTCTTTGTCCTGAATTTCTTAGGTCAGTACACGGCAAATCGTGCCACACCTTTTCCCTCTAGCTGGATTTTAGGACTTCGCTTCTCTCCTGTCTTAGTTCTTTCTTGAATGCAACTTTCAAACCGTGGCTTTGTTCTTAGAATTGGCATTTGTGGGTGTCCCCTTACATAAGCTTTCCTCTGCTGCTGCCGTTTTGTGTTGTTTTTCCTGAGCTGAACATGTTCAGAAAGAATGGCATCAGGTCAGCCAGGAAGAGCGAGCCTGTGTGACCACCGGTTACCCGTGGCCCCTGAGGGCGTGGAAGGGGGTTCCCGATGAACTGCTTTGGAGCAGAAGTCCGCTCCGTTTCACACTGGGCCAGGGGCTGTGGCGGCGGGTCTCTCACTTAGACTCAGAGTACCTGGTGATGAAGGGCCTCCTCTCTTCTACTACAAAGTCTGAAGCATCAGACAAGGAGGGTAACTTCAACTAAGCTCTCGAGATGGTAAAATTTACGTGTGCGTTCTAGAAAAGGAAACCATGAGTATGCCCTACGCTTTCAACGGCACAGAGCTCCTCACCCTCACCAGGAGACACCTGGAGCTTGGATCATCAACAGGCAAAGAGGTATCTGTTTCCTTTCCTTGGACACTTTTCCATCCTCAGGATAGTCTGCCGTTTGGGATGTTTTCACAGTTGGTCTGCAGCTCTTGGCTTCTCTGATGATCGTCCGTATTCCTGTTCCATCTCTCCGGCCCCAGCGCGGGCACTGTGAGGTCGAGTCTCGTGTGGGCAGCACGTAGAGCCGCTGTCTCTTTGAGCTCGTCGCACCTGCTCTTCCTTTCAACCTGCCCGCCGCCGTCACTTTGTGCTGCGGGAGTCGCCGTTCATGCACACAGCGCAGGGAAGGGGTAGGTTTGCTGTCCAGTCGCCTCACCGAAGTTTCTGTCGAAACCCAAAGGAAACCACTTAAAAGTTACTCCACATATTTCATTTTTAAAAACAAATGTTTTTGGTTCTGTCACGCATTCTGCATTCATTTTCCCCATCTCCAGCGAATGCCAGCACAGCGCCTGTGAAATTAGCAGCAGGCGGCGAAAGTCCTTCTAGTGGCATCTGCATAATAATTGCAGAGAGATGCTTTACATCTGGGAAGCAAGCCAAGGAACAAACCTTGAAGCGAAGTGTATTAAATTAGTTATCTAGTTAGAGCTTTTGGACTGAGTTCCTGATGATGGATCAAGTCTGAAGCTGGAGCTGTCGGGGTCTATTTTTTTCTGTTTGGATTTGAAGAGAGAAAATGAAAAAGGGGGGGGGAGGGGAGATACCATCTTGCAGCAAAGCCATTCACCACTTTGGGGCCTCTGGTTTTTAAGTTTTCCAGTTGAAATGTTTCGTTTCTGTGACCCACACTCATTCGGGCACAGGGAGCCAGCATTTGTCCTTGTTTGCCGTGGTCCCTGGATGGCGGGGGCTGAGTCTGATGTCTTCATCCTTGAGCGGAGCTTAGCTGAGCCTACTGGTTCTCTTGGGCTCTAAGGAGACACCACCTCTCATAGGATTTATGTTTAACACACCTCTTTCCTTGGCTAGGAGGTAAAAGAGGATTTGGCTGTATGCGAGAGCAGCGCCAAATGTTGATTTCTTTACAGGAGAGGAAAGAGGAATGAGCTCCTCTTCTCAGTGAGTGGGCAACAGCAAGATTGGGAAAGGGGAAAACCTCTCAAGAGGGAATATTTTGAGCACTGTGCTTCCAAGGAGCTTAAATGGAGAGAATTTTACTTTTACAAACTTTATGATCCTAGATTTAGATTAAGAAGAGGAACCACGATTTATCTATGATTTGATTTTTCCTGTGATTTACGTCTCATTGCTTGTCTTGGAGACTCACGTGGCTGTCTCCGGCCCCTTCTTCCCCCAGCCTGGTCGGAGGGGCTCTGTGGGCCCCGCCGAAAGGGTTCCTGTGGGACCTGACCACCAGCTTTCTCAATACTCTCTTATCCTTTATCTTGTCTACTCTTAGCTTTTGAGGTTCAGTTTTGGACCCTAGGGCATGCAGGAGGTCAGCGTTCTTACCAGCTGCCTACTTCTCTCATCTTTTCAGCTTAATTACAGGTTGACCATAGGAAATTGACAGTAGCTGGGCCATTTTTTGTTACAGTGACCGAAAACTCACATGAATCAACCTAATCTCTACAACATTTTTCTTCCCCGATATAGTAAGGTCCCAGCACACCATATGTCATTTCTCTGCACAAGTGCAAATGAACAGGAAAGCATGTGAAATGGGCAGCTTGGCCTTGCCGTGGTGAGCTTTGCCCTCAGTGCACAGGTCACCTCCTGGGGCTGGGAGGTCGCTCTTTGCAGAGATATTAGTACACCTAGATGTTAGAATGTTCTCATAGGCAGCGTTGGCCATCAGGCACATCACTGTGGGGTTCAGCTGCCCTCTTTTGACATACAATTTGTGTTAGCCCAGTGGCCACAGCACATGGTGTGTAGGCCTGAAGGTGTCCACAGCCAGAAAGTAGAATGTGCTTTCTAATCTCATTCCTCCACATCTCGTGATGTGTCCGGTGGTAAAAGCGGGTGTAACTATTGACTTTCTTTCTGGGGAGATGTGTCCACCATTTTGAGATGCGGGGAGTGCCAGGGAGCTGAGACACAAGGGCCAGGACTGGGTCAGACCCACGTGACTGTTACTCTGTTCCTCCTCCTTCCTCCATTTTGGCAAAAGCTCTTGGGGGTCCTAGAGGAGGAAATTTCCAGAAGTACCAAGTAATCACGGTTGGGGTCCTTAGGTGGCCCTGTGTGGGCAAATCTGCTTCCTCATGTTTTACCAAAGACTCTTCTGCTGCCCTGTTTTGCTTTATTCCTGTTATTTTATCAGCTCTATTCCTATGATTTTTCAGGCTTTTAGTGATTTCTTTTTGTGAACAAATTAGCCACTCAGCTACTTTTTCTACTGCTTCCAGGAGAAATTCGGGTTTTCCGTGGACACTGCACAAGTTTCCCAGTGGCCTACAGCATTCTGGATGACAAATTACTTGGCCCTAAAGGATGGAAATAATCTTAGTTGGCCCTATAGGGTGGAAATCTCTAAGATGTTAAATTACATTTGAAACTTCTCTTGGATGCTGTGCAAGAAAACAGAACAGTTCTTGTCTCTGCCTCAGCTGCTCAGACGTCTGGGGGCAAAAGACCTTAGTGATGCCTCCTTTTAAAGTAACAACAATGTGCCTGGGAGAGATGTGAGGGTACAGACAACCAAACCTGCCCATCCAAAGGTGTTGCCCCAAAAGTCACTGTTACTCATGGAATTCCTTAAAACTCCACAGCCAGCTTGTCTAATATGTAACCCTTTTCCTGCCTATGCTGATGTTCTGCGTTTGGGTGATAAACTCAGGTGGCTGAGCGTTTGTGTTCTGCTACCTTTCTTATCTCTTAGCGGAATAGGACTGCATCTTCTGCAAGGTCAGATGAAAAGTGTTCCCTATGGATATGTCCTTGAGCCTGGCATATGGAGTGTCTGGCCTCCATCGACTGCATGAGACTAGACAGCTGGTTGTTGGGGGCGGTGACGTGGGAGGGCGTGCATCCGTTCCTACTGTGCAGAGTTTAAACATAAGTCCAGGGGTCTTTTGTGACAAGGCAGGAGGACGAGAGCTGATGTGCGGCCTGGCCATGACGAGCATCTGCGTCGAAAGTCCCTGTTTCTTCTGTGGTGCTCGGGCCGTCAGGATCATTTTTTCCCAGAGAT